ACAGATCCCTATATTCCCATACCTCCCCTATACTCCTCTCTAGCAGCTCAGCCAGTACTGTGCTTTCATTATCGACGTATCCATGTTCTCTAGTGGATTATGGGCTCCCTGAGAGCAGAGTCACTTGTTTTCATCTTCGAATCTCCACTTCCTAGCACAGTGCCTGTCATATATATAAGTGCTTAATAAATGTTTCTGTGAATAAATTTACTTCTGATCTCTGCTGCATTTCATCCAGAGAATCATTAATTGTGTTAAAATTTGCTTAGTTATTTCAAGGTTGCTTATAATTACTTTTGCTTTCTGAGCATAATCGATGAGTTATAAGCATCAATATGTTGTGAATGCAAGTTCTAATATACCTTTGTAACATGTTATCTTATCCTATATTTGAGGAGGAAGCATGCGAAAGGCCAATCCAGCCCCCGCTTACTAAAGCTAAGGTAAGAAACCTAAATATTCTATTTATCTTTGTAACATTTTCTGTAAAAGGGAGATATGGTGTGGCAATACCCTGTGGGACTTCTGACCATGGTTTTAGTGACCCAAGCAGCCCACAGTGCCTTCTGTTGTTTAAACTGCTCACTATTGGGCCCTGCCCACCCCACAAGGCAGGTGCTTTCTGAGAAGGCCTTGGTTATGAGGCTTCCTTCTTAGCACTTTCTTGGAAGCAAAATGCTAAGTATCAGAGCTAAATACAGGGTCCTCCTGCTTTGGAGCTGCATGGCATACTGACTATGGAAGAGACTCTGGGAGAGGGAATGGACGAGTTTCAGGTGCTTCCTATTGACATAATCCATATGGTCCCAAATTTAGAGCACTTTCTTTGCTATTTGTGATGGCCTCTCACCCTCTCCCCCATTCCCCAAGCTGGCACCTTACCATGCCTTTAAAATTACAATAGTGTGGATCTGAGGGGGGTCACTTCATGAGAAAGTGGTGAGGTAGAGCCTTGAAGAGCCAACTTGCTGGAAAAAGTACAGTAGGTTGTGATTTCTCCTGTACCTGGGTCCCTTACCTGGTTCCAGGTGAGGCCCGAGCCTGTGTCTGGATTCATAGCCATCTCTACTCTGCTGCTCATTGCACTGACTGAGCAGTTATACTCTTGTTCTTTCAAGAATGAATTAGACAGAGCCTTTGGCTTCTGAGGACTTATGGCTGAGAAGTGAAACTCAACATACCAAGAAAGAAAAGTTACAACATAGGGTGACATGTGCCTCAAGAGCCAGATGAGGGAGAGATTAATCCTGTCTTGTGGTAATAAGGAAGGTTGGATAGAGGTAGTGAGATTTGCAGAGGGTCTTGAAGCAGAAGAAGGAATTTACAAGGCCAGGAAGGACTTTACAAGCAGAGAGAGAGCAGCAAGTACAAAAGAGCCTTGAAAGATGGAAAGAAGCCTGGAGAGTCTGGCTGGTGTGGGGCTGGTAGGCAAGGCAGGAGGGGAGGCTGACGAAGTTAGTTAGGAGGGGCTGGCATTGGATGTCTGGGTAAGGAACTCTATCTGTGGGCCCAAAAGATCTTCTAGGCTGAGGAGTCATGTGGTTAAATTGTTTCTGTCTGGCAGCGACAAGGAGCATGAGCCTTGTGCATCCGGGAAACTAGACAGGGGGCAATGGGGATAAATATAGAGAGATCTCCAGAGTGGATGTGTATGCAAGTGGATCCACCTCAGAGTGGGAAGAAAGTATTATGAGTTCAACAGGTACCAAGTTTTTAAAGACCAATCAACACTGGTAACCTTGCTTGGTCAGCCTTGTACCCAGGGTCTTACACAATGACGAGGAGGCTAATAGTGGCCCCCTCCTTTGTTTACTGAGCCATTTTTTAGCATTACTTTTATAAATTTCTGGTTGAAGTAGTTTTATGTGTCATGTTATCTGACTTTAACCTGTTAGGGACTGAACTGTGTCCTCCCCAACCACTAGTTCATATGCTGAGGTCTTAACCCCTAGTACCTCAGAACGTAATCACATAGAGAGATTATGTCTTTAAAGAGGCAATTAAGTTAAAATTAAGTTAAGTTAAATAGGTCTTTAGGATGGGCCCTAATTCAGTTTGATGGGTACCTTTCTAAGAAGAGGAAATTTGGACATACAAAGAGACATCAGGAAGGTGTACACACAGAAAGCAGACCATGTGAGGAAGACAAGCATCTGCACGCTAAGGAGGAAGGCCCTAGACAGAACCAAACCTGCTGACACCTTGATCTTGGACTTCCAGCCTCTAGAACTGTAAGAAAACTTTCTGTTGTTTAAGCCACCCAGTCTGTGGTATTTTGTTATGGCAGCCCTAGTAAACTAATATAACACGAAGAGAACTCTAAAGTGCAAACAATCAAATGTCCATCAACTGATGAATGAATAAAGAAACCGTGGTATATCCACGCAATGGAATATGATTCAGAAATAAAAGAGAATGAAGTACTATGACATGAATGAACCTTAAACACATTATGCTAAATGAAAGAAGCCAGTCACCAAAGATCACGTGCTGCATGATTCTATTTATATAAAATGTCCAGCATAGGCAAATCTGTAGAGACAGAAAGTAGATTTGTAGTTGCCTAGGGCTGGTGAGCATGGGGGTTTGGGAAATGACAGCTAATGTGGACCAGGGTTTCTTTTGGGAATGAAGAAAATGTTCTAAAATTGATTGTGATGATGATCTCACCACCTTGGAATTGTATTAAAATAATCGAATTGTACATTTTAAAAGAGCGAATTATGTGGTATGTAAGTGATATCTCAATGAAACTGTTACCCCTCAAAACGCATTCCTTAGCCGAGAAGTATAAAGTATGTGTGAATATACTACAATGTGTTTATGAGCTCACCTGCTCATGGACATTTGGGTTGTTTCTAGTTTTGGCTATTACTAACAAAGTGTCATGAACATTTGTGTAGAACTCTTTCTATGGACATAGGCTTTAACTTCTCTTGGGTAAATATCCAGGAGTAGAATTGCTGGGTCATGGGGTAGGTGTTTGTTTATTAAACTTAATTAGAAACAGCCATATAGTTCCAAAGTAGCTGTATCATTTTACACTCTCAAGTATCTCATCCGTTTTCATGTCTATGTTTTAGGTATGTTTTATAATGTACATATTAGTACTGTAGTATGTATTGAGAGTTATAGATAAATTGCATATTATTGTGATGAAAACAGACAAGCTCCATAGCCTGGGGCTACAAGAGAGTTGATATTGCTAAGGGCTTTGTATAAGTCTCCTAGGGCTGCAATAGCAAATGACTGCAAACTTGATGGTTCAAAATTTCAGAAATTTATCCTCTCACAGTTCTGTGGGCCAGAAGTCCAAAGTCCCTCCTGATCCCTCCACAGGCTCTTTCTTGCCTCTTCCACCTCTGGTGGCTCCAGGCATTCCTTGGTTTGTGGCTGCAGAGCTCTCTCTGATCTCTGCCTCCCTCATCACATGGCATTCTCCTTTTTCTCCCTCTGTCTTCTCTTCTACCTTTGATCAAGACAGTCATCATTGGATTTTGGGCTCACTGGGAATCCAGGATCATTTTATCTTGAGATCTTTACCTTAATCACACGCAAAAACCCTTTCCTAATAAAGTCACATTCACAGGTTGTAGCTCTTGGAGAGGCACCATTCAACCTACTACAAGCCTGTTCTAGTGGAATGAATAGGGAGGAGAGGATGGATTCAAAAGAGTGCCTAGGTTTGATTTGTTTCTTTATATTGTTTGTTCCTGAGATACATTTATAGGTAAAATTGATGGGGTTTGGTGATAGATTAGATGTGGGTACTCAGGAGGAGAAAGAGCTCAAGGATGATGTCCAGGTTTCCAGCTTGGGTGACAGGGAGATGGTTCTGTCTGGAACACCCTTCTCCCAGACACTGGCGTGCTCCCTCACTTTTATCTGGGTTTCTGCTTAAATGTCACATCGTAAGAGAGGCCTTCCCTATCCATTCTACCTAAAATAATACTCCTACCTTCTACATGTTCAGCCTGGGTATTCGGATCAGATTTGGCTTACAGTAACAGAAGACCCTCAGATAGCACTTAGGTTAACACATTGAAATTTTATTTTTCTCTCAAGTTCTAGAAATCTGGAGGATAGTCAGTGAGGGACTGCTATGGGGTACCTTGGTGACAGGGACACAAGTTCCTTCTCTTTTATTTAGTTGCTTTGTTTGTGTGGCTGCCATTCCCCAGGTTATCTTACAATCCCAGACAGTTTCTGGATCTCCAGCAAGTCTGTATGTATTTCAGCCAGCAGGAAGGAGGAAGGAGGGCTGACAAAGAGACCATTGCTGTGTCTAAAGGAAGATTCCTGGAAGCTACTCTAAGACACTCACTCTTGTCTCTTTAGCCAGAACCTTATCACATGGCCACATCTAGTTATAGGGGAGGCTAAAAATGTAGTCTTTATCTGGGGGAGGGGGAGTCTGAATTCAGCTAAAAATTGGAGTATTCATTTGGACAAAGGGGAAATGGAAATTGTAGGTTGTAGCTGAGATGGCCACATTCTGCTTTTTTTTCCCTTCCTCCTAGCACCTGATCTACTGTATACTTAATTTGTGATTTGTTTACTGTCTGCCTCTGCCCATCAGAATGTGGGCAAGGACTCTGTTTTGCTCACCAGCATGTTTCTAGTGACAAGGAAGTACGGGAGAGATTTGGTGCTTCACAAATATTTGTTGAGTGACTAAATGACAAGGTGGAGAATTGAGAAGAAAGAAATTTAAGATAAAGAAAATGACCATGATGGAAGACCTATTGAATTGCAGGTGCCTATGGGATATTTAGGAATAGATGTTCCCAGGGAGTTAGAAATATGAGTCTGGAGCTTGGGAGAGAAGTAGTAGCTGGAGCATTTGATAAGAGTGATTCTTTGGGTAGGGTACCCTGGACCCTCAGAGGACAGTGAAAGAGGAAGGTACACTCAGCCAGATTAGCGGAATCTACCAAGACAGATGCCCCTACTGGGAGGGGCAGCTGCTTCCATACGTGGTCATTCAGATTTGCCTCATCGCTTGGTTTGAGAATGCTCTTTGTAGGAGGGCTCTGCAGAGCCAGGGTCCATGTGCCACGTTTTACAAATCTAACCAAGTACAACTTGGTACCCCCAGGCTCCATAATGCAGGTCCTTGAATGCATCTGTGACTGAGATATCACTGGGCCTGGCTTGAATAAGAGAAATAAAGATAGTATGTGACTATTTCATCTTGTTAGAGGGGCAGGTCTGTCTGGAGCCTAATTCTTCTACTCAGTAGCCATGTGACCTTGGTGAAGTCACTTGACCTCCCTGGGACTCAGTAGTCCCATCTATAAAATAGAGATATAACTACCTCATTGAGTTATTCTGAGGGTCAAACAAGTTACTAATATAAGTAAAGAATTTATAACCTAGTCTGTAGTAAGTTCTACCTAAGCACGAGCTATTATTATTATAAAGCCAGATGTATTTAGTTTAAA